TTGTTTGTTATTTGAAAAAATGGCAGCAGATACACAGCAGTGGGCAGTTGAGCAGCCACAATCTAGGTCTATTTTTGAGATGTCTAACGGTTCTCCGTATGTTATAGCATAAATTGAAAAAATGGAGAAAAGGCTTGACGCAAAATTTGACATGTTATTACAGAGAATACCAGGTTCACAGGTTGCTGTACAGCAGCCCTTACAAGCTGTCTGCAGCATTTGCAACATGATAGCTCACGATTTTATGAGCTGCCCACATAAAGATGTTTCTCCAGATTTTACAGCAGAGCAAGTTAATGCATTTAACAATTTCCAGCGCCCCCGATATGATCCGTATTCTAATTTCTACAACCCAGGTTGGAGAGATCATCCTAATCTAAGGTCGGACAAGGAACAGCACACTAGGCCTCAATTCCAACAGCAGGTACAGCAACCTGCTGCACCTAAGGCTGCTTGGGAGGTTGCAATTGAAAAATTGGCAAATAGTACCACTCAAGAAATTCAAAATCTACAGGCAACAGTGAAAAACATGGAAAACAGATGGGGCAGATTGCTTTGCAGGTTTCTGGAAGGGCACCGGGTACATTTCCCAGTCAAACCGAACCAAATCCTAAGGGAGGTGCCGATTGCAAGGCAGTTAGAGTTCTACGTTCCGGCAAAAGTTTTGATAACAGGGATGAAAATTGCGATCAAAATTCGCGGGTGGCTTCGCAGCCAAAAACAGATTCGGGGAATGTTGAAAAATCTACCAATTCGAAAGATTCTGAACAGTCCTTGAACAGTTCCGAAAATGGTGCAAATATTGTTACGGATCGCGTGTATGAGCCACCTATGCCTTATCCCGAAAGATTGAAGCCTAAAGTTAAAGATCAACAATTGGCAGATTTTATGAAGACTTTGTCTAAGGTTCAGATTAATCTGCCGTTAATTGATGCCATCAAGAACATTCTGTCTTATGTTAAGTTTTTGAAAGATGTTTACACAAAGAAAAAGAAGCTTGTTGATTTTGAGAAAGTGATTCTTACAGAATAGTGCAGCGCTGTTCTGCTTCACAAGTTGCCCCTAAAGAAACGAGATCCAGGGAGTTTTACAATTTCATGCACAATTGGAAATTCTCATTTTAAACGTGCTTTAATTGATTTAGGTGCTAGTATTAATTTAAAGTCTTTTTCTGTTTTTCAGAGACTAGGACAAGGAGAAATCAAGCCTACATCAGTTATTCTACAACTAGCGGACCGTTCAGTTGCTTATCCAAGGGGTATTATTGAAGACCTAATTATTAAAGTGGATAATCTCTATCTTCCTGCAGATTTTGTGATTTTGGATATGGATGAAGATATGCAAACACCGATTATTTTGGGATGTCCCTTCATGGCAACAGCTAGAACGTTAATTGATGTAGAGGCTGGAACACTTACACTTAGAGTGCAAGATAAATCTGTTGTGTTCAGTTTGTTTGAAGCTACTAAAAGGCCAGGTGATGTGCATGATTGTATGCGTATTGATGTGCTTGACAGCTTATTTCATGCTGAAATTATGCCACGTTTGACATATGATCCATTGTTAAATGTGTTGCATGGGTTTGAGAAGAAAAATACAGAAGATGAAGAGGTTTTTGAGTATGTGTTGGCTTTGGAAAGTGTTTCATTTCAACCCCCACATTGGAGGCATGTTTTTGAGAGTTTGGGGGAACCCAAAAAGCTGTTGCAGCCTTCTAAGGTACAGCCACCTAAACTGGAGTTAAAGGTGCTTCCAGAACACTTGAAATATGCTTATTTGGGTGCAGATTCTTCGCTGCCAGTTATTATAGCTGCTGATTTATCATCAACAGAAGAAGATAAATTGTTGCGCATTTTAAGGAGTCATCAAGATGCAATTGGCTGGACTATAGCTGACATTAAAGGGATCAGCCCTACAATTTGTATGCACAAAATTTTGATGGAAGATGGAGTAAAGCCTGCCATTGACGCTCAACATCGTTTGAATCCAATTATGAAAGAAGTTGTTCGTAATGAAGTTATGAAACTTTTAGATGCTGGGATGATTTATCCCATTTCAGATAGTAAGTGGATTAGTCCAACTCAAGTAGTGCCAAAGCGTTCTGGTATTACAGTTGTGAGGAATGATAATAATGAACTTGTACCTACTCGTTTGACTACTGGGTGGCGTATGTGTGTTGATTATAGAAAGATCAATGCAGGTACTAGAAAAGATCATTTTCCATTGCCATTCATTGATCAAATGTTGGAAAGGTTGGCTGGTCGTGCTTTCTATTGTTTCTTGGATGGCTATTCAGGGTATAACCAGATTCCAGTTGCCCCTGAGGATCAAGAAAAGACAACCTTTACTTGTCCTTTTGGGACTTTTGCATATAGAAGAATGCCTTTTGGTTTGTGCAATGCGTCTGCCACATTTCAGCGTTGCATGATGAGCATATTTACCGGGTTAGTTGAACATATAGTTGAGGTATTTATGGATGACTTTTTCTGTTTTTGGGGATTCTTTTGACCAATGTTTGCAGAATTTATCTCTAGTTCTTGAAAGGTGCATTAAGACCAACCTGGTTTTAAATTGGGAAAAGTGTCATTTCATGGTTAAGCAGGGAATTGTCCTAGGCCACTTGATTTCTAACAGGGGTATTGAAGTTGATAAGGCTAAAATTGATGCAATTGAAAAGTTGCCACCCCCAACAATTGTTAAGAGTGTTCGATCTTTTCTTGGTCATGCCGGGTTTTATAGACGGTTCATCAAAGATTTCTCCAAGATTAGCCGACCATTGTGTAATTTATTGGCTAAGGATGCACCTTTTGTTTTTGATGAGGCTTGTTTGGAGGCCTTCAAGAACTTAAAGACACTCCTCACTACAGCACCCATTATTGCAGCGCCTAATTGGAGCCTACCTTTTGAATTGATGTGTGACGCATCAGATTATGCAGTGGGAGCAGTTCTTGGACAGCGGAAAGATAGACTTCCCCAAGTTATTTATTATGCTAGTCGAACCCTCAATGATGCACAACTCAACTATGCTACCATAGAGAATGAATTGTTGGCAATTGTTTTTGCATTGGAAAAATTTCGTTCGTATTTAGTTGGGGCTAAAGTGATTGTTTATACAGATCATGCAGCTTTGAAATATTTGTTGTCTAAAAAAGAGGCTAAGCCTCGATTGATACGTTGGATTCTTTTATTGCAAGAGTTTGACTTAGAAATCAAAAATAAAAAAGGTAGTGAAAATGTGGTGGCTGACCATTTATCTAGATTAATTATTCCCACAGCTTCAGAAGAGGATTCCCTACCACTGAGGGAAAGTTTTCCAGATGAACAATTATTTGCAGTCCAATTCCGTACACCATGGTTCGCTGATATTGTTAATTATTTGGTTAAAGGTGTAGTGCATCCAGAATTAACATTGCAGCAGAAAAAGAAGTTTTTATCTGATGTCAAGGATTATTTCTGGGATGAACCATACCTATTTAAGTATTGCCCAGACCAGATTATTCGCAGGTGTATTCCTGAAGCCGAACAGGAAAGTGTTTTAAAGTTTGCTCATCATTTTGCTTGCGGGGGATATTTTGGATAGAAAAGGACAGCAGAGAAGATTTTGCAAAGTGGGTTATTTTGGCCTACACTTTTTAAAGAGGCACATAATTGGTGCAAGGCTTGTGATAGGTGTCAAAGAGTCGGCAACTAGTCCAAAAGGAATGAGATGCCCCAGCAAAGTATTTTGATTGTTGAATTATTTAACGTTTGGGGTATTGATTTCATGGGACCATTTCCATCTTCCCATGGGAACCAATATAGTTTAGTTGCTGTGGAGTATGTTTCTAAGTGGGTCGAGGCCATTGCAGCACCAACTAATTAGGGATTAGTGGTCCTGAAGTTCCTCCAAGGGGTTATATTTCCGCGTTTTGGAATTCAACGCGTTATTCTTACTGATGGGGGGAAGCACTTTATTAATAAACCATTTGCTAATTTGTTGGCAAAATATGGGATTAATCATCGTGTGGCTACACCTTATCATCCACAGACATCTGGGCAAGTGGAAGTTTCAAACAGAGAATTAAAACGCATTTTGGAGAAAACAGTTGGTTCAACACGTAAAGATTGGAGTTTAAAATTAAATGATGCATTGTGGGCCTACAGGACAACTTAAAAAACTCCTATTGGGATGTCACCATTTCGACTCGTTTATGGGAAAGCATGTCATCTACCTATGGAGCTTGAGCATAAGGCTTATTGGGCAATTAAAGAGTTAAATTTTTCGTATGACTCAGCTGGGGAACAACGTAAATTGCAGCTCAATGAGCTGGACGAAATTCGTCAGGCTGCTTATGAAAGTTCTCGCATCTACAAGGAAAGAACTAAAGCGTTTCTTGATAGTCAAATTTTACGGAAAGAATTTCAGCCAGGGCAAAAGGTTATGCTATTCAGTTCAAGGCTAAAGTTGTTTCTAGGGAAATTGCAATCTCGTTGGACTGGGCCATATCTAGTTACAAAAGTATTTTCTCATGGGGCAGTTGAAATAACTAATGAGGCCCAAGGCAACGCATTCAAGGTGAACGGTCAGGCTGAAACCATACGTGGAGTCACCTTTTGATACTGCATACGAGTCTTTGACTCTGAAGGAACCAGTGATCTAGCCACCGGACTTCCGCAACGTCTAGCTACAGACTTAAAATAAAGCGCTAATTGGGAGGCAACCCAATTTTTCTAAACTCTTTCCTAATTTTAAATTTCGTTTGATTTTCTCTTTAATAAAAAAATAAATTAAAAAAAAAACATACATAAAAAAAAAGAAAAAAAAAACGAAAAATTCAAAAAATGGAAGATTGCAGGTTGATTTTATTTACCCAGTTTATTTGATTTTATTTTAATTTTTTAACGCATATTGGTTAATTGCAGGTTGCGACCGTGGAAAATAAAGCGCATCCTATGCTGGAATCCTGCACCCAGCAGCAAGTCTAACGTTCACATCAACCACATCTACACTATGCTGGAAATTTAAAGCACTCAACATAACAAGTCATTCATAGATGCAAGTTTGGGGGAGATTGTTGCAGATCCAGCACAGAGACAAAATTTTGACCAGTTAATTTTCTGCAGCTCAGTTTTGCGATGCATGGAGGAGAACCACAGTTAAATCACAAATCCATACACCACAAAACTGAGTACAACTTTTATTACCAGATCTACAACAATTCAACTTGCAAGGATATGAAATTTTACGTCCCAGATTCACCGATCTGGGCTCTTGGAAGCTTGTGCCGTTTTTGTCTATTGAAGCTGATGTTTGTCCGTCCACTTTATTTCCCACGGATCTATTAGTGATCCACATTTCCTGAACATTTCACAACAGAAAGACTAATGACACTTTGATTTTCATGATCCAGGTTATGTATCACTTATAACACACAAGCTTGTGGAAGTCATATTTTCTGAAGGTCTTATTCATGTTGTTATTTGTTCATCAAATCTGGGGTCCTTTACGTTTTAGGGTCCATACTTTTCGTGGTCATTTAGTCTTCGTTAAGTCTCCCGCATTTCAAGTTCACTTTCATCATATTGTTGGAAATGTGCCCTAAAGCCAATCATGTGATGATACTTTACGAACATTTCACATGTTAAACTAATCTAGTTTTACATATAAAGGGCAAAGATTATTGTTTGAGCCGTCTCATATAAATGTTATATGCTTAAACGATAAAGTCCAAGGAATATGTGATTGGGAGAATGTAATCTAATGAAGTTAGATTCATGAGACCATTCTTTCGTAGACACATCCTAAACGTTCCTGATCATAGGATTGCCAATTGGGCGTTGACAGTCCATTAAGATCAGTACGTACTATGTCTTCTCTCAGGGAGAGTGATTAGTCTCGAATCATTGGTGTGTGTGACATCAAGACAAGTACGGTAGGTGCTCAATAGAGAATGAGTTCACTGAACGCGATCAACGAAGAGTTCTCATATTCCATGTCACATGAGAACTCATGGTTGGGATAATGCAAAGTAGTCCTTTGACCTGAGGCATCATAGTTGTCTTGTGGTTAAGTCCTTGATCTTTGATTATGTCAAAGTCACTCCATCATGAGGGTGTCCACGGCATCGTTGGGGTCAAGCCACTTAGCTATGGAGACAAGTGAATGCGCAACAAGGGATCTCTAACCTTCAAACCGTTTGAGGGAGAATACTCTCTGATATGATTTGAATCTCTGGCTAGAGTATGAATGAGATTAGGGAATGCGTTCCGAATCACATTCAAGGAAATCATATAAGCACAAGACACACATTGGATAGTAGACATGAGAAAATAAACTATCAAACCAAACAATGTGGTCAAGAGTATTAGATTAGAGAAAGACCGTATTGCATTTGTAATCTCGAACTGAATAGGTTCTCCACCTCTTCTGATTAGCTTGGGTAACCATGATATGCTGCTAGGTGTCACTCATGGTTTGTGGAAGCCCTAAACGTGTGTAATCACTAAAGGGAGAATTGAAAATAGTTTCAATTCACAATCGATGTAAAATGGTTTTAATCGCCCACTACCTCGCTAAAAGGAACCTAATGGATCGCACACCATAAAAGGTAGAGATTGGAGATTAAACGGAAATGAGTAAGAATGATTAAATGGTTTAATCATTTATTTATGGCAAGGATTAATTAATATGTTAATTAATCAAACGAATAAGTTCGTTAAAGACTTCGGGATAGTTTTGGACCTTAAGGCCCAATGGGCTTCGAACGTCAAGCCCATTAACTTAAGTTGTATGACAATTTAATGAATAAAGATTCATTAAAGCCCAAAAGCCCAAATCCCTAGGTGGCCGGCCATGAAGATGAATTAGGGTTTTGGTTGTTTTTAGGTCACTTAAAGAAGTGACTATATAAATGACTTTATAGCCAAATATTCATTAAGGATTAAAAGGGTTAATTTTTGGGGAAAATTGGTGAGAATTGTCTCTCCATTTTCTCTCTAAAGAGGCCAACACCTTGGAGGGTACATCTAGCAATCCTACTACTCCAAGGTCACTCATTTCTTCTACAATCTAACCTTGGTGAAGAGACTTAGAGGTTCTCAATTTTGGGAACTTGGAGAACCTATTCTTCCATCCAAATCCATGGATCTAAGAAGCAAGGAATGAAGGCCCTATCTCTTTGGGTGATTAGCCTTTGCTTATGCAAAGAGGAATCTACAAAGGTATTAATTTCAACTCACTTTGTTTTGAGTTGAATATTGGTTCACCAATCTACTAGGCTTTGAATTTCATGGTAATGTTTTGTTTTTTGAGTGCATACAAGCATGATTCCGCCTTTAATTGTTAATTGCATGCTATATGATGTTGCTCAAATGAACATGTTTTCCCAAAAGATTTCCTTCAAGTGGTATCAGAGCCTAGGTCTAGTAGTTGGTGAATCCTTTTGGGGTTTTGTAGTTCATAAGTTTGTGATTTAAAAGTTGTAATTGTTACAAGCTTTATTCTTGCTTCTTTGAAAGTAAATTTTGTTGGAAAATTTGCTATCTCAAATGTTGTAGATGTTGTTCATATGAGCATGAATATTGGAGCTAAAATTTGGTGCCATGCTTTTGGGAAAATTCGGCCAAAACCAAAGGGTGGTTTTTTGGGTTCTTGTTTGACTTGTTAAAAGTGTTTTAATGTGTTCTTTGGAACCCCTAAGTACCCTAGTTTGGTTAGATGTTATTTCCCTTAAGTAAGAATGGTTTTGGAATGTTTTTGGGTGAAAAGGTTCGTGGAAAAATTTAGGTTTTTCATGGATGTTCTTCATTGTTCTTGATGTTCTTGCCAAGAACAAAAAGGTTTGGTGTTTTGATTCAAAGTTTTGATTTATTTCATAAAGTTTATGTGATTTGTTTTTAAATGATTTATCATGTATTTAAAGTGTTAAATATTTGTATAAATGATGATTGAAATAATTGTGATTGAATTATTTTCAAAACTTATCCTTTCACATACACTTGCATGATTAATTTTGACAAAACTCACAAATCAACACACACATCACTCTTATCCTCTCCCCAAAACCGGCCACTCCCTCAAAGGGAGTACTTTTGGGGCTTTTATGCAATTACATAAAGTTTTGATACTTTTGTGTATTTGCACTTTGGCCCAAAAGTTTACGTTTTTACGTTTAGGTCCAAAAACGCTAAAGGACAAATTGTTTTGTTCCTTTAATGAAGTTTTTGCATTATTAAAAGTTTGGGTTCTAGTTGTATTTACATGAAGTTGTGACTTTTGTGTATTGTACAAAGTGACCCCAAAAGTTTTTGTTATTTGCAATATGGCCCAAAAAGTTGAGGTTAATTGCATGATGGCCCAAATAGGATGAGAACAAAATTGTTTTGTCTCTTTAAATGAGAATTGGATTTTCATTTTGTTTAGCTCCATTTAAATCAATTTTATGGATACAAAAACCAAATGAAAATGTTGCATTCAATTTAATTAGTTAAAGTGTTAATTAATTAAAGGGTGATTATGAACCTAAGCCTAATATAATTGAGCTATGTGAAAGGCGTTTCAAATTTGTTTGAACCATGGGAATGTGTAGATTAGATTTTGGTTGTAATTTGATTTGATCAAATGTTGTAAAAGGGCTTAAGCTCTTCTTTACTTTAAAGTAATTTGTTTTATGCAAATGTTGTAATGAGCATAAGCTCACCTTTACTTTGAAGTACTTCTTTCTTGCTTTATTTGATATGCATGAAAATGAAGTAGTTGGGTCCAACGCCCCTAAGACAACACGCCTTAATGTGATTAAACGCGTAACTAAAATCAATCACCATCCCTAGACCGAGATTCAACACAAGGCTCGTGTTGAATCTAAACAAAGGTTCATAATCATCCTAAGGCCCTAAGGCAACTATATAGTCCATCAAATGAATGCAAAGTTTATGTTAGTAGTATCATATACTCTTGCTTTAAAAACCGTTTTTTAAAAGCATAGTGGGAGTATTATGTACAACTAAAACAATCATATGGACCAATAGTTGTAATAGGACCAAAATTGTTTTAATAGAGATTAAAATGAATATTTATATGTGATGAGACCTAAAACCCTCAACCAAACCAATTATTAAGTTGATAAGCGTGAGAGTGCTTTAGAACATCTCTTCGTGGCCTTCCACCGTGGTAGGGCTCCAATCGTTTATGACTTGTACACCGGCTTCACCCTATCATGGGGGAGTACAAAGTGCATGCTTATACTCAGGAGGAATCCATATACATATGATGAGGTGAGTGTAGGCAACGAGGATGGCCAACATCGTATCATCGTGAGGCTATTCTTGAACCCCTACGAACTAAGCATGGTGGGAATGACTTAACTAAGTGCAATGGAGCCAACATCATATCATTGTGAGGTGACATTCTCTAGAGGCCAAATAAGATGGGTACTTGCATTAGTTGCAAATGAGTAAGCGTACTCTCTCATTATTATTGTTGCTAGCCATACATCGTATCATTCGTGAGGTGGGCTTGGTAATAGTGAGCCTCCCATAACCTACTAAGGAGTTTCATCCAAAACTCTCGAATTCCAATGAGGGATATGGAATTTGCCAAAAATAGTGGGTGGTGCTATTTTGATTTAAAGACCCGAATCAAATGGCTTAAAATCAATCAATTTATATTCGTTATGTATTTGTTTACCAATATATTTGCAAACGCTATCCAACACTTGACAAATAAAAGCCGAACGTTTAGTTTACCGGACTTGGTACTACAAAACCATAGATTGTCTTTAATGGCTTGTAAATGTACCTAAGTAGTCTCATCCTCACAATCTTCCTATTGATAATGTATCATTAGAAGAATATGTTAGAAAAGGTCTATCATAAAGAGGACAACACTTTTAATGTCATAATTCTTCAATTACAAATTGTTGTATGAAGAAATAAGGAGTTGCTTTGAACAACCCTTAGTCAATGCAAACACTTAGTGCTTGTTTCTTTGTTAAATGAACAAGGAACTTGAGAAGAAAGCACAAAGGCATGGACACTTAATGTGCCATGATTCTTCACTTACAAATTGTTGTATGAAGAAATGAGAGTTGCCTTGTACAACTCTTGAAAGTTTGTAATTATGTTTAGAACATAATGGTTGGTTGACAAAAATAGTCCATTAACATGGACTTATGATGATTTTGAATCATTGAAGTGTTGAAGTGATAAAACCACTTAACGAGACGGAAACTAGGCAAGGACTTCACCTTTGTTTCCCTATCCTAATGGTTCACTAAGTTTATTGTAAACTATGTGTAGTGAACAATAACCACATGCTCTCCAAAATGTTTGATGTGTATAACACAATTGAAAAAGGTTTCA